CGGCTTATGAACAAAGCGTTTGACTGAATCCTCATACTCCAACAAGGGATGGGCATGTTTCTCATGCTATAGAGGAGAGTTATCACGAACGAAAGTAATCTATATGTTAAACGACGAATTACTCTCCAAGGTCAGATTGCATGCTGTATAAATGTGGTTATACGGAAGGCCAACCTCGGTGGCGATTTCCTGCAAATATGTTTACTTAGGCAGTTGGTCGGTTAGCAAATGTTTATCGGCATTGCCGCGATACTGAGTCCATATCTCACACGATGATCAAATTTGGCCTGGCGCAGTTGATCACATACACAAATCAAAGCGATTTATATGTCTTTGTGAAATCTATCGCGGTTACAGTTGTAGAGCTGTTCAAGAAGCAACGAATGAGTTACGAGTCCTCGGTGAACAGACGTTACGTTATCACTGGTTTCTTTTCTAGCCTCCCTGTAAATGAGTCACACAGATAACATCAGTAATAGTTCTACTCAATTTTACAGAAGGATAATACCGTTCATTATCACTCCTCTATTTTTGTAATTATAAAACGACGTGGCGGTCGCTTTCTGTGCAGAGGGCAAAGAGGTTTTATTTAATTTTCCTTCGTCGGACACCGCCGGGGTTCATCAAGAAGGAAACTTTTCTCGCCTGAACGTCGACGCCCGGCGCAACGTTCGTTTGATGCGGACGTGGCGTAGCCTATCGGCAAAAGCAGGGTCTTAATGCGTGGATAGGAAAAAAATTGCGACTTAAGTGCCATTCTGTGCCCAAGGCCTAACGGCGTTCAGAGCAGAGGCAACTGGCCGTCGTCTGTGCTACGCGTCGAGCAACACGCTGTCTGATCGCTTCCCTGCTACCGACAGCTTCCTCCAGGTTCATACACCGTTTGCCCACCGACGGCTGGGGCTGTGGTTCTCGTTTATTTTGTCCGTTCGTGTCATTCGTTTTATATTCTGTCGTGTTATATTGTTCAGTCGTTACACCCTGGCGACTTGTTGACTGCCTTTTTGGGTGTTTTATCCGTTAATATGTTAATGTTTGATAGAGCTATTGTCTTTCACGGTCTTCCTTTAGTATATAACGAAACTTCGCTATTCGGTATAGGGGAAATTTTGTTATATTTTTTCTGTTAAGACTGTAGCCCTGATTTTGATTTTTCCAATATCACGTTCGGGTTCAAAATCAAAATCGAGGTTGCACATTGTGCCGATGATTACACTAGATAGTCAGCTATCGGGTGGATCACGGCAAATGCAGTCAGAAGGTGTTCTCGTATCACATGACATGGCCCTGTATCTTGTCCATTCTGGCACGACCAGACCAGAATACCATGCTGCCCTTGTTTTTCGCAAGTTACGGACGTTCTACCCTTTTCTCGGCTGGTTGCGCCGAAGCAACGTAAGGTTAATCCTTCCTCGAGGGAATTCGAGGTTACGACAGGGTTGTCACTCGAGCGGATTCGAACCTCATACCTCTGCATTTCTAATGTGACCTCTTAGGTAGTATGCCACCGCGCCACCATTTCAACGTTTTACCACCGTCAGGCGCGCTACATAAACTTTTTGCAATGTTTATTAATTCAGTCCACTACTCCAACGTTGAACCGCGAATACAGGCGGTGGCCACTTGCATGAAATTTGCCCGTGTCGGCAAAAAGCTTGATGCTGCCATTTGTCTCTCAGACGTATAAAGACATAAAGTCTCGACGCTTGAAGGTTTTTCTTCGACTTTTTATTCCAGAAATGCTGTTGGAATTGATTAAGGAGTTGCTGACTGTTGTTGGAGGTTGACTACACCTTATGGTTCGATACAGTTGCTTCTTTATCGCGTTGTATGGGGGCAAGCGAACAATTTTTCAAAAAAAACAGAAAACAATCAATAAATAAATGCTGCTTGTGTTGCCGAGAATTCGTTCGTAGAGTAATATGTGACCTAAGTAAAAGAATGGACAAAAAATGAATGAAAACCAATTCCAATCCTCGCCCGGTTGAACGTTCATGCAGCTGCGGATAAAGCTTAAAGAATGTTGGCTACGAACGTCAGGTATCCGGGGTATGCAGCTTTTAGTTCACTGCTTCTTAATCTTCTACATATATGCGACGCGTCATGGAATGGCCACCATTGAGGCACTCATTCACTTTGGGCTTTCATGTTAGGTCATCCGATTTTGTTGGTCCGTTATTCAAAGCAATGCCGACAGGTCGCTCGGTCCTTACTACCGTACGACTACGTGGTGGATGCCAGGTCACCGAGCA